TTTGGGGTGCTTACTTAATGCTCAGGGTCCTGGATTTGATCTTTACAATAGACTGCAGATCTTCCTGATCGTTTTTATTTATTTTTTTATGGGTATTGGGAATTGAACCCGATGCCTTGAGTATACTAGGCAAGCACTCTATGTGTCTCCTTCCCTCTCTTTACTTTCTGAGACAGGGTCTCACTAAATGGACCAGGCTGGCCTTGAACTTACTGAGCAGCCAGCCCAAGGAAGCCTTGAGCTTCCAATCCTGCCTCAGACTCCTGAGTAGCTGCAATTACAGACCTGCACTAGTAGGATCAGCTTATTCCAGTATCTCTGCCAGAGATACTAGAAGAAGCCATTGTTTCTTCCCACTCGACAAGAGACAATGAGGCTGTGAGTCTAGAGCTTCCATGAGGAAAAATCCAATCTGTAATGCAAAGTCAACAAAAGAAGAGAAAACAAATGCTCGGGCCATGACCTTAGGCCCGTCATTGTGGGAAACTCAAGGTCAAAGCCACTGCACTACTATACCACCTACCATCATCATTTTTATCTTAGCCACTGTTTTATTACTATGAAGAGACACTGTCCTGACTGGCTGGCTTTATGTCAACTTGATGCAAGTTAGAGTCATCAGAGAGGAGAGAGCCTCAATTGAGAAAATGCCTCCATAAGATGGGGCTGCAGGCAAGCCTGTGGGGCATTTTCTTAATTAGTGACTCAGTGGGAGGACTCTGCCCATTGTGAGTGGGGCCACCCCTGGGGTGGTGGTCCTGGGTTCTACAAGAAAGCAGGCTGAGCAAGCCATGGGGAATAAGCCAGTAAGTACCACCCCTTTGCCCTCTGCATCAGCTCCTGCCTCCAGGTTCCTATGCCATTTGAATTCCTGGTTTTATTTCCTTCGATGATAAACAATGATTTGGAAGTGTGAGCCAAATAAACCCTTTCCTCTTCAAGTTGCTTTGGTCATGGGGTTTCATCACAGCAGCCATAACCCTGACTAAGACAGACATCATGATCTAGGCAACTCTTTTTTTTTCCTCTTTTTTTTAATTGAAAAAAAATTCCTGCTTCCTCCCAGCCTCCCATTTCCCTCCCCCTCCTCCTACCCCTCCCCCCCTCCCCCTACTCCTCTCCTCCTCCCTCTCCAGTCTGAAGAGCAGTCAGGGTTCCCTGCCCTGTGGAAAGTCCAAAGTCCTCCCCCCTCCATCCAGGTCTAGGAAGGTGAACATCCAAACTGGCTAGGCTCCCACAAAGCCAGAACATGAAGTAGGAACAAAACCCCTTGCCATTGACCTTGGCTTCTCATCAGCCCTCATTGTCCGCCATGTTCAGAGAGTCCGGTTTTATCCCATGCTTTTTCAGTCACAGTCCAGCTGGCCTTGGTGAGCTCCCAATAGATCAGCCCCACTGTCTCGGTGGATGGGTGCACCTCTCTGGTCCTGACTTCCATGCTCATGTTCTCCCTCCTTCTGCTCCTCATTGGGACTTTGGGAGCTTAGTCCAATGCTCCAATGTGGGTCTCTGTCTCTATCTCCATCCATCACTAGATGAAGGTTCTATGGTGATATGCAAGATATTCATCAGTATGACTGTCGGATAGGGTCATTTCAGGTTCCCTATCCTCAGCTGCCCAAGGAACTAACTGGCAACTCTTATGAAAGAAAGGATTTAATTGAGGGTGTCCTTACAGTTTCAGAGGTTTAGTCCATTATCATCATGGTGGGGAGCAGGAAAAACTGCCAGCAGTTGCTGAAACAGTAGCTGAGAACTACATCCTTCTCTATAGGAAGAGAGAGGGAGAGACATTGGGCCTGTCTTGGGCTTTTAAACCTCAAAGATTACCCCCAGTGACTTATCTTCAAAGCAGCAACTGCTAATCCTAATCCTATCAAAGAGTTTTACACCTTGTTTGCTAAGATTTCAAATATAAGAGCCTATGGAGGCCACCACAATGCTTAAGCCATTTATTTATTTATTTATTTATTTATTTATTTATTTATTGCTTGTTTGCTTGAGGCAAGGTTTCTGTGTATAGCCCTGGCTGTGCTGGAACTCACTCTGTAAACTGGGCTGAACTTGAATTTAGAGATCTGTCTGCCTCTGCTGAGTGCTGAGATTAAAGGCCTGTAACACCACCACCTGGCTGCTTAAGCCAATTTTGAGTAGCATTTCACTATGCATGACCAAGAGAGTTCTGGTTGATACAAGATGATTTTGTGAGCTTGTTTTTGCATTCTTTGTGGAGAGTTCTAACTGGGTTAGGGTAGAAAAGGAGCCGAGGAAGCCTTGCAATATAGACCACTGAACACAGATATGATCAGGGAAGTAGGTCAGCTAGATCTCAGAACTGAAGTCCTGAAGAATCATGAGAATGTATTGATTCAAATCTACACTATTATTTCATTCATTTTTAAATCAAAATATTTTTAGGTTTGTTTATTTTATTATGTTATGTATATGAGTGTTTTGCCTACATGTATATCTGTATACCACATGCATGCCTTGTGCCCTCAGAGGCACAGAGTCTTGTGAGTCACTGTGTGGATACTGGGAATTGAACCAGGGTCCTCTGGAAGAGCAACAAGTTCTTTTACCACTTAGTCAGCTCTTTAATCCTCCTTATTCATTTTGCAATTTTCACTTAAAGTATTTTGAAAGTATATTAAATGAAGAAAACAAGGTTTATAGTTGAAATGTGGGGAACTGGTTTATTTTTTTTCTTGAGTCTCAATGTTCCCTTCTGAAAAGTGGCTATATTACATTAAGGAACAGTTATTTCAAGAAGTTATTATAATTGAAGATTGAACTAAAGAATTCAGACCAAAATATCTAGTGTATCCTCACAAGTAGACAATGTCACTATTAATAATGCTTTTAATTTTTCATTTTCTGGAAAATGTGATAGTGGTTTTTATTGCAACATTGAGGCAGAAATAGAGTTAAAAAATCACATAGATTAAAATTAGAAGCCCAAACTCTTTAGAAAGAAGCCATTGGATTCATAAAACAATCTTTGTGCTGCCTCAGATTTAGTCACCAACTCTTTCAAGCTGATAGGCAAAGGGTCACCTAACTATTGCTGAATGTGTTATTGGTTATGTGTTTTTTTTCTTTCAATTTGAAAAAAGCTGGAGTCATCTGGGAAAATGGAATTTCAGTTGAGAAAATGCCTTCATCAGATTGATCTGTAGCAAGTCTGTGAGGCAATGTCTTGATTGATGACTGACATGGGAGGGCCCAGTCCACTGTGTGCAGTGCCCTCCAGGGGTAGCTATATAGGAAAGCAGGCTGAGTAAGCCATGAGACCAAACCAGTATGCAACATTCTTCCATGGCCTCTGCCTCAGTTCCTCCCTTTAGGTCCATTGGCTTCCCTGCCTTGCCTTCTCTCAAAGGGAAGCTGTAAAATGGAATGAATCCTCTCTTCCCCAAGTCACATTTTGCTCATGGTGTGTCTCACAGTGTAGGAAGCAAACGTGGACAGAGTGTCGATGAAGAGTTGAGTCTTTGTGTTCTCTTTGCTCCGTTTAAAGCTGGAATACATTGCTCATGGCAGTCATCCTAATGGACAAGTTCAGACTAAACTTTTCCCACTGGATCTGTGGGAAAAAAAAAAAAAAAAACGAAAAAAAGACCCAACCCAACACTGGTCCAAGACACTGATCCAAAGACCCAATTCTGTGCCTGGCAGGAGGTAACTCTTGCTGTGGTCTGTTTTGTTTCTGTCTCTCAGGACTCCAGCAAGTACAAACATCAGTTTACAGATAGGGAAACTGAGGCTTAGAAGAAAGGAATTGCGGAAGGATTCCCAGCTGCTAAACTGTGGAAGTGAGAGTTACAGCCCAGGCTGTGTGGGTTCCGACCTCCTCCCTCACACTCTTATGTAAACTGTCCCATGACCCTGCCCCAGCCGGTGTACATCCAGTTCAGCAGGATTTGCCTCTGCCCTCCGGCTCCTGTGTGTTCTAGATCAGGGCTCAACTCAACAGGAGACCTGGATTCCAGGACTCAGGACTCCCTGGGACATCCACAAGGCTCACTGGGGTTTTCTAGTGCGGAACAGACTGAGTCATTTTGAGGAACTATGATGTCTTTTCTGAGGAGATTCGTTAAATTCTGTTTGCCTGTTTCTTTATGCGTTTGAGGATGTCCTCATTGTGGAAGGACAACCATTCTTTCCTAATGAGTCACTTGCATTTGACTTCACATTAGTTGTATTGCAATGAGCCCGATTAGAATGAAAGGCAATTACTTTTACTTATTTTACTTTTATTGATGATTAATATCGACGATTGCTTATTAACCACACATTTTGCTTCACAAGGAATTAACAGAACACTTTGCATTGTGCTATAGCACCTTCAAGTTTCCCATGCCACGTTGATTATAATACGCGGTCTGTGCTGTTTGTCAACTCTTATCATTGTCTAGGCTCATCTCCTGACGGCTCTGCATATGTAAATGACTTGGTGACAACAGAAATCAACGAAAGATATGGGCAGAAACAGAAACACAGCCCCGAGCAGTTGGACAGGAGTGATTCTCATGAAAGCAATTCACACCAGTGTTATGATACAGTGCCAGTTGGGACCTTGGTGGAGGGTGTGTCCAAACCGGAGCAGGTGAGAGAATACCCAACAGACAGAGCTTGAGTGTGGAGTTTATTGAGATAAAGGGAATGGGAAGGGAAGAAAGAATGGAGGGGGAGGGAGAGAGAGACAGAGAGGGACATGGTGGGAAGAGAGGGAAAGGGAGAAAAAGGGTAGGGAGTGAAGGGGGTAGGGAGAGAAGGAGAGGGGGCATGCAGAGATCTGCCTGCTTCTTCAGAGGAGAGGAGAGAAGAGAAAGCGTGGGTAGGTGGGGCTTATCTTCTTAAAGGGACAGGCTACTGTCTGCCTCTTCCGCAAGCTTGATGTGAGGTGCAGAGTGCAACACACTGTCCCAGTTTCCCAAGGGGCAGGGCCAAGGTGTGCCTAGACACTAACAGTACAGCTGAAAGTCAAGGCTGTCACATTGTAGAACCCTAAGAGTTTGTTTGCATTGTTTTTAAAGCTCTAGTTAGGCTGTATCAGGAGACTTCTGTGGTTTGGAAGAGCATTTCATGAAATTCCATCTGTTAAGACTTACGTTGCAGAGTGGCATCATGGGGGTGCCGTGCATCCGTAGGAGGAAGGACTTGGGGTGCTTTAGGTCTTTGGAAATATGCCAGGAATTATTGTAACTCCGTACTCCGCTCCGCTTCCTTTCTAGTTTGAGACGTGGATGCTTACGATTGTTTAACCGTGTCCATCCACCATGAAATGGGGCCCTCGTCAAAGGCTTAAACAAATTGGCCTAATCTTGGACTTTAACCTTCAGAAACAATAGCCAGAATAAGCCTAAACTTCACAAGTAGCTTATCAAGTATTTCGTTATCGTTATGTGAGGCTCAGTGATACAGAGGAATGGGCTGGAAAGAGATGGGGGGGGGGGACTCACCTCCGTTCTTACGTTCTCAGCACTCATTTACTGTATTTGCATAGCCCACGGCATTCCAGACAACCTGTTCTCACAGAGATCGGTCCAGTGTTGTCGCAGTTTAAAAACAAATCTGACCACATTCCCATTCTTCTGAATTGATTCAGAGATGGGAAAAGACAAGGCGCTAGGACGCGGTCCTCTTCGCTGAAGCGAAGTACAAGGGTAGCCTGCTCGTCTCCGGAATCCCTGGGCTTTGGAGCCCAGTTGTAAATAGCATTGACTCTAGCAGAGCTGGAGCTAGGAAACGGCTGATAAAAGGACTGGGACTTAAGCGGCTGGTGAGTCAGAGTCCTATGTTCTCCACATTTGTTGGGGGGGGGGGGGGGTAGCACTAACAGCCAAAGGCCTGAGGGAGAGGTGTTTATGGCGTTGAACCAGGAGACTTTCCCCATCTGAAGCCTGTGGGAGGATTCCAGGATTCTGGGTGCAGTGGGTGTGGGCGTGGTAAGCTCCCCCAGAGCTTCTGCCACCAATGCAGTACAGGGCCTCAGGGCCGCCCGCGTTCCTTCCTTTAGCCCTCTGGATATTTTCACACCAAAAAGATTTAGCTTTTCTCTTTCTCAGCCCTCGTCCCTGTCAAACCTCTTGATCTCAGTTTGCTTCCACCCCTGCTCTTCTTCCCCTCCACGATGCCTACAGTGGCAGTGTTCAAATGAAATTCACGTTTTCGCCAGGCAAATATGCTTGAACTCTTTGAAGACATCTTCTAAATGAAATCGTGTGTGTGTGTGTGTGTGTGTGTGTGTGTGTGTGTCTCAATGACAAGCCTCTAATCCAAGCATTTAGGATGTTGAGACAGGAGGATGTTTTATTTGAAGCCATTCAAATAAACATTTGAGGTTTATTTGATGAAACATTGTCTCATAAAAGAAAACAAAGACAAGAAATGAGGTCCCAGACATTTGGGGCCTGTGCTGGGCTGCAGCACCAGCCAGAATCTGGGAAATCACCAACAGGGGCTCACAGCCATTGTTAATGGATCCTTGTGTTACACCTCCTAATATATTTTGACTGCTATTTCTGCTTGCCGCGTCAGACTGATTCTACTGAGGAGAATCATCCTACTTGGCTCTATTAACCATCCCTTTATCAGGCTACACCATAATGAAAAGCCAAATCCCTAAGCCCCTATATGGTATTGAGCTCAACGTGTTACGATTTATTGTACCTGTTTTTAAGACTTCCTGAAAAGCAAAGGACCCAATGATGACAGGACATTGTAACCGGAGATATGCGCTTACGTCATTCAAGATATAAGATATGAGCTAGATATGAGACACTTCTCTGCCTACAGCTTGCCGTTGGCCTTTGAAGGTTACCACTGGTTCCTAATGTCATCTAATCACCTGAGGGCGGGCTCAAAAGGCAGTTGAACAGTTAAATCAGCGCTCTAGACTCTGGTGGACGGCACCTCAGGGGACAGACAAACCCCGAAGGGCATTTTCAGCCTGGAGACAGGAACCCACTGCTGTGGAAATCAGTATTATCTGCATTCCTCTGCAGAGACAGCCTGGGGACACAGTGGAAGGAGCTGCTTTCCTGTGGTCTGGACTTTGCAGCAGGATGCACCGATATCGGCCCTACTTTCTGTCAGTTTATGGATTATTAGGAGGAAGAGGGGTAGAGCGGCTGGAACGAAAGTTGCTGGTACTTTCCAGCATAACGGAGTCTAGCTTGGACACTGCTTTCTGGCCGGGTGTGGTGCTCATGCCTGTAATTTCAAAACTGAGAAAGGAGGATTGTCATGAGTTCAAGATCACCTTGAGTTACAGAGTGAGGTCCTTTTTGAATAAGTAAATCAATATGTGGATAGATGAATAGATAAATCAATCCACACACTGAATGCACTGTTACGGTGGCTCTTTACTCCATCTTGTGGTGGGGCGTCGCCATTGTCAAGCACAAACTTGCTTGGCTAAATCGCCTTAGTTCTTCACTAGAATTGGGGTGGATATAACAATCTGATGGAGCTAAAAGCAGAGAGTCTGTGCTAAAAGTGGGTACTTCTAGAGAGTTCGGTGACTTAGCTGTGTATAGAAGCACGTAGCTTCGCTATGCCCTTCCCTAGATCGTTTTATAAACTTCTTTTTCTGCTGGGGATGTGGCTCAGTGGTAGAACACTTGGCCAGAACACACAAGGTCCTCACTTCTATCCCCAGCACTACAAGAAAGCAGAAACAAAACGATGCAAACATTCTCTCTACCAAATTCTGGATCAACATGGGGGTTTAGGAATTCAGTAAAAATGAAAATACCTAATTTCTCCACTTCTATTCTAGCAGAAGGAAAACAACATAACCTACAAATTTGAAATGTGAGGTCTAAATCCATATGCATATTCTACTGCCTATATATAGGCACCATCTATGAAGTTGTCTACTTATCAAGTTCTAGGTTCCATTCTGTTGTCCACAGGGAGGAGCAGAAATAATACCACCAATGGAGATGCTCCCTTTTGAAATTCTGCATGGGATTAGCATGCATCAGAAACAGATTCTTTTTGCAAAGGAAGGTGAACTGGCACCAAGGTTTACATGTTGTATGTTTCTTTAGAGACCTTCTCAATGGGTAGGGTCAAGGGCATCTGTCGAGATGAGGCCTTTTTCAGGGAGAGGTTCTATTAGGGCCTTCTTTAATTGTCCTGGTGCTTGCACAGAGTCAAGGTGGCTGTTGGCATTTGTTTCACTGTTCATGCTGGACAAACTTCAGGGTCTTCCCCAAGATCATTGGCTCATAATATATTCATGTTCTGTGTCCTTGTAGCTGAGCTTAAAATCACAATAGGAATGAGGTACCATTTACAGAGTAGGTTATTACATCGTTGTAGTATGCCCAGATTTGGAAGCAAAGATACTTTTCAACACTGTAGCACAATGAGACACCGAAGTCATATCCAGCAATCCTCACTGAAAGAGCTATCAAAGCCATGAAAAAAACACAAAGGAAGCTTAAATGCACGCTAAGTGAAAGAAGCCCGTCAGACAAGGCTACCAGGGTCAGACTCCAGGTGACTTGACAGTTGGGAAAAGGCAGACTCTGGAGACAGCAACGAGATCAGCAGTTGCAAAGGAGTCGCGGAGGCAGGAAGGAGGAATAGCCACGGGTGGGGAAATGGCCTTGGTTGACGTGTTAGATGCACATCATCCCAGAGATTAAACTCTAATGGCAAGGGTAGACTTGGAGTGATGATGTATTAGTATGGGTTCGTCAGCTGAGCAGATGTTTTATTTACTTAAAATCTGTGCATGGTAATTAAAAAAAACCATAAGGCATAATTCCATTTTAAATTTTGGATTGCCATTTTGTTAGAGTTAAAAAAAATGGATGTCACATGATTTTACCGCCATCTTGACTAAAGGCGATCACATGGAGTGGGCCTAACAAATTTCCAAGATAATTTAGATTAAAATAGATTAAAGCTACTCCTCAATGTTTTTATACTCAAATGTACCTTATTCTGCCAGCTAGACTTTGTTAATTTAAGAGTCACCCAGGTGATAATGGTTAAAAAGACATAAAGGGATCATAAAAAAAAAGGCAGCTAAGGTTTCAAATGTATAACAGGACTAGAATCCCAAAGAATATGCAGTTGCAACAATGGACCTTAATAGTTTTAAAAATGCCAGTGCCAGGTGATGGTCACCAAAAGTACCAGGTACAGTAAAATGGAGCAGGCTGAGATCCAAAAGACAGGCTGTATATGCTGTCGAGGGTGGGACCAAAGAAGTACTTTATTTTTAATATCACAAAAAGACATTTAAGAGATTTTAAGTTTTTAAATAAATTTATGGGCTGGAGAGATGGCTCAGTGGTTAAGAGCACTGCCTGTTTTTCCAAAGGTCCTGGGTTCAATTCCCAGCAACCACATGATGGCTCACAACCATCTGTAATGAGATCTGGTGCCCTGTTCTGGCCTTCAGGCATACACGCAGATAGAATACTGTACACATAATAAATAAATAAATCTTTTAAAAATAAATAAATAAAAATAAATAAATAAATAAATTTATAAGGCTGTGAGACATCTGCTATACAATATATTATGTTTTATATTGTTAGGGTTTAAGCTATTTGGATAAACTGAGTCATAAATTTTTGTATTGATACTAAGAGGTTTGGACCTCCTCTTCTGGGGAAAGAATGTTGTTTCTATGTCAATCACTCCGGGGTAATTAGAGATTCAATGGCATTGCTAATGATAGAGAACAGAACACTCACAGGGAAGCTGGATGAAAACTTGTTCAGCTGGTCTCCTTGGTTAACAACCTTACTTCCAGCTCTAACAGGCCCCTAATGATCTTGCTTCTTCTTATCAACAGACTAATGGCTTTTGTTCAAAAAATGGGTCAATACTGTTCAACTGATGGTATTAAGGTTCCAGTATCTCCCCCTTGAGCTCCTGGATAGACAGGACCCATGATTGAGTCGTGTCATTGATACTTGTGAAGGGGGAAAAATGTTGGGCCCAGGGTAGCTCTCTCAGGTCAACTTGGTACACACCTGCCAAGATGGGTTCTATAGATCAGCAGGTAGACCGTAGTCTCAGTTTGCCCTAGGGCAATGCTAGCTCTTAGACTCCCTCCTGTTCCCATTTCACCCTGGGACCTGTTCCTTGCCTTGGCAGGAGACAACATTAACAGCTAGATATAAACGTGTTCTGTGTTTACCCTCAGAACAAATAATTTGGTTTCTTTATTAGCTTTAATTCAAAATCATTACAGAGTATGGAGTTCCAGTCTTGTAAAAGCTGCTAACTTATTATAGACTGTTAGAAAATACAAGTTAGTCAGTCATCCTGAAAGTACTAATATAATTGGTTATAGGAATAAGCCTTATTTAGTTCCCTATATATGTTTTCAAAGTCAAACTTAAAGCAAAAAATAAAAAAACAAAGTTTGTCTAATCAGACATACCTAGGCAGCTCTCATACTTCAGAGATCTGCAGAATATGGCATTTAAAATAATGATTAAGAAGCTTATTATATGAGATAGAGACTCTGAGATCCTAGCAGTAACCCAAGGTCTCCAGAGAAGATTATGAGACACCACGATGTCTCCACCTGGATTATGACGACGCTGACCACTGGGCGAGATGACCCCCAGTGCAACACCTGCTGCCCAGACCCGGTCCAGACTGTGAACAAACAGCAGGACCCTGGAGAATTGATTGCACCACTTTCGCCTAGACAAAATAATGTCAGTCTCTTCCATGTACCTCTTCCACAGAAAAAGAAAAATTCACCTTATGGGCCTGGCTGAGACAGTAAGACTGCTGTTTTGGATACTTCTGCCTTCAATGCTATGGAGACCTGGGTAAGACTAACTGTATATGGACTCTGGTCCCTGTCACTTTTAATAGATTCAGAAACTATTTGGTCTGTACTTAGATATACTTTATTTATCCTTCTGAGATCTCTGATAGTATTAATGGCTAGGGCAGTTATAATGTCAGTTTAACAGCAAAAAGAATCCAGATTCTTCCACAAAGCTATAGCGAACTTGTTAGCTAGGACTCAGGTGTGAGTCTATACCTCCTGTTTACCGACATCTGTTATCTGCTCTTTTTCTAAATTTTAATTTCTGTTCCCAGTTTAAACTTATCTCAATAGGCTTCCACTTGGCTGGCAGACACATCTAAGCCTCAGTAGCTGACTGCAACCTGCTCTAAATGGGCCTGGGCCCTGGACTTCCTGAAAGCTGATGTGGACCGCCAGTCCAGCTGATGTGAACACTCCCTGCTCCTTCTACAAAGTCGGATGAGTGCCCTATTGCCTAAATGTCCTTCCCCCCCACCTTTGGCTAGCCTTTCAACCTGCTTGGGCCTGGATAACAGCACCCCAGTGTCAGCTTGAAGTAGTTGCAGAAAGAAACACGTCATCCCATGCCCCCTGCCCAAAATAGATTGAAAGACTGAGACAAGTGGGAACTCCCCGGCATGGGGGACAGGATAACTGTCTATAGTGCCTGTTCATGCCTCCTTAAAACCAAGGGCAAGTAGGACCCAAGATTGAGTCCTGTAATCAGTGCTTGTGAAGGGGGAAGTGTGGGGGCCAGCCATAAGCTAAGTATGGGCAGGTCACCCAAAGGAAGTTCTTTACTTCCAACCATTGTCACCTGCCAGTGTGGAACTCGGCCATCGATAAATTTAATAAGAGGCCCGAATCTTAGTAGTTTACCCTGAAGCAATACCTGATTGCAGAAAGAACCACAAACTGAGATTACCTAGCACCACCCCAAAACAGACCGTCCAAAGGAAAGGCCTAACATTCCAACTGCTGTAGATAGGACTACCTGTCAGTACACACTCACCAGGACACCCCTAGACAAATGTCAGCCGGTCAGGGGTCCTAAATCTCAGAAACCCCTCACCCCCACCTTTACTACTATAAAAACCCAATTCTAACTGAGCTGAGGGCTCGCCGTTTATTCTAATACGTTGGACATGCGGAGAGACTGAGTTTGCAAACTTGCATAAAATAAAGGCTCTTTGCTTTTACATATGGGACTCGGTCTCCTTGTTGGTTTTTGCAGGGACTTTGGGGATTTGGGCATAACAGATGTCAGTGTTCTCCTGTTATCTAACTTTCAAAATCCCAGTTGTATTGTTGATAAAAATGGTGGTCTACATCTTTTGATGAATATATCATGTTTTAGGGCTGCCTATCTAAGTCTTGCCTCACAAGGCACTCCCTTCCCACAGTTATTATTTCCTAGTAAAATGGCAATCCAGAAAACCTATGAGATTTTTGAAATCTTTCTAGGCTTCTCATAATTTTTATGGTGGTTTGAGTATCTTCTGGATCCCAGCCTGCTGCAGAGTAGAGAACCAGAGGAAGGCAGAATAAGGCAAAACAATAAATAAGACAAAAATGGAAAGAGTAGGAGATTCAGAAAAATGCATGAATAGGATATTTTAGATATCTCAGTAACTAGAATACAAGTAGTAGAGATACCAGCGAGAGCACAGACGATGGGGACAGTATGAGCTACAAACCTGATCTAATGGCCATGTGTAGAGCCTAAGCCCCAGACAACAAAGCACACATTCTTGTCAAATACATGTGGAATCCTTGTTAATGCTGGCAAAATGATGTCTCAGAATGTCTGATATATTCCAAAAGATTGAAACCAGTGTATCTGTTTCGATATGAATGTATTAAGTTCAAAATCACCAGTAAGAAAGCTTGTTAGAAAATCCTCCTGTTTGATAGTAAACAAACCTGTAAATAGCCAACATCTGAGAAGAGGTATGGGAGACCTAGGTGTGGTGGTGGCTGTGGGACAAGCCCTGTTCAGGGGAGGCTCGGGAAGGATGGGTTTTGTTAAAAGCTTAACTTTAACACACTGGTCAGCACCGAGTGCCATCCCTGTATCTTGTGCTTTGAAACAAGAATTAATGCAATCTCCTCGAACTTCTAAAGGAAGGTGAACTCAGCTTTAATTCTCTCATGAATCTTACTTTTGCGGAAGGTTTATAACTCACACGGCTGCGGCAACCGTCGCCTGCCCACGATATTTAGAAAACACCAGCAGACGGTATCGAAAGCACAAATGACATGGCCAGTCGGCCCAAGCCAGACCTGTGTAGCAGTTGCCAGCAAAGTGATTTAAGACTATCTGGGGACGTAGAAAAACCAAGCTTCCTGTTTGACTTTGTTGGATTTACAATCTACTGTGGTGAGCTGACCAGCGTTGGTGAACCTAAGCTCCCTTGGGAAATATTTTCATAAACAGATTAGTTATGCTTCTGTGTGCTTCTTCTGATCTCCTGCATGAACCCAAGGCTTCCTTACAGCTGTGTTGCAGCTACTGTTTCCACTGGGACTGGGCTTTGAGGCCCAGGAAGGACACAGGACATAAACTTTGCTACTCCAAAGGATGTGTAAGCTTCTTTCCTACAAACCACTTTCTTTCTCCTCCAGCTCCTCCTCCTCTTCTAGAGGACGTCACTACGTACCTCGATGGGTCTCAAAATTCCTATGTAGTCCAAACTTTATGGTCCCCTTGCCTCAGCATTTCCAGTGCTGGGCTAATAGGCTTGTGACATCAGACATGACTTTCTATAAAAATTTTATTCCTGTTGCAGAATCAGTGTATATTATCTATTTATGGATAATAAGATATAGGAGGGAGAAATGTAACCTCAACACTTGGAGGTAGATTAGAAAGTTCAAGGTCATCATCAACTACAGAGCAAATTTGAAGCTAGTCTAAGCTAAAAGAGACCCTAGCTCAAAAAAAAAAAAAATAAACAAATGGAGAACAAGCTAAATGAAAAGCAAAACACAGCCCATAATATTTGGCAGGGTGTAGAGGCTCACACCTTTAATCCCAGCATTCAAAGAGCAGAAGCAAAAGACTCTCTAAAAGTTTAAAGCTAGCCTGGTCTACACAGTAAGTTCCGGCCCAGCAAGGACTACATAGCAAGACTGACCAACAAGACAAAACAAAAAACCCAACAAAGCAGCATCACTACAAAAACCCCAAAGAACCTGTGTTATGTTCATTTTACCAGCTGAGTTTGAGAAGAAACCACACCTAAACTTTAGCAAGATACATTCTTGGACAGTTTGTATTATCCCCAAATGAGCTGATTTTCTTTTTTACCTCTGCTGCTCAGGTCTAAGTGTGAGCTCAGCCAGGAAAAGCTGCAGCCAGAATCCAGTTGCTTCCTCAACCATGATGTTTTTGTTAGCCGGGAAACGAAGCTTTCATCTCAATACTTCATATTTTGGTTTCAAGAAAGTATTTCTCCTGTGTTACCACATTTGACACCAATATGTTTAAAGGTTCAGTGTGTCACTTTCTGTTTCACACACCTAGCTCTTCAGCTTAAGGTGGTAAAGTGAAGACCACAGGAAACACGTCATATAGATAGATGAAAAGGCTGACTTCATCCTGCCGCCCTGTATCAAGTATATCTAGGCTGCCCCTTCATGTTTTACATGATAATCTGGGCCAAGCTCTCATACAAGAAAAAGGAGAATGGCTGAGCCTCTTACCAGCTGAGAAACACTCTCAGCAGCTTGTTGGTCCACATGTTAAAGGAAAGGAAGTGGAAGAAGCCCTCTGGAGAGATGTAGGAAGTGAAAGAGAAATGTCAGGGCCCTGTTATGATTGCATTTCTCTTATGGTATTCTTACCCATTCTTTGTTTTTTTTTTTAAAAAAATTTAAAATATTTCATGTATATGGTGCTCTATCTTCATGCATATCTGAAAAGGGCATCGTATCCCATTATAGATGGCTGTGAGCCACCATGTGGTTGCTGGGAATTGAACTCAGAACATTGGGAAGAGCTGCCGATGCTCTTAAGCCCCAAGCCTTCTTTCCAGCCCTATTTGTATCCATTCTTAGGTGGTTCATTCAGGGAACATCTCTGACTTTCTCCCATCATTGACCATTCCTCTTTGAGGAGAGATATAAAGTTTGGTGGTCTATCAGGGGGTGGAGAAATGTGTTCTTTTCTCTTTTGTTTACTGTGACTAAAGCTAAAACATGGCTTAGTGTTTAGAAAACTTCTTCACCTCAACTAATGATTGACACTAGATAAGCTTGTGAAAACACAGCCTCCGTGGCACCTGCTGCTGCCATCTCCATTGTCCGTTCCTCCTTACAGGGTGTTCTGCATTCTGTGGTCGTTCACACACTTCCTTAGGGATGCCCCCTTCCTAGCCAGATTGTAAATATGGGGATCCCCTGCACTCACCCCCACTCTCTCTTTCCCCTTTCCTCTCTCTCCATCCTTAATAATTTTGTTCATTTATTCCACATTATCAACTCTTTTTTTTTGCATATTATTAGTCTCTTCTGCTTTTAAGATTCTCACTCCTCTCTTTGGTTTCCAGCCTTAATTTTCCAAACTCTTTGTTTTGCCCACAAAAACGTATTGCTTTGCATCTGAAAATCTGCATGTCATCCCAAATTTATCAACTCTACCCTGGTTGCTCCTATTTTTCTTCCCATTCAGCTGGACAAAGCCGTTTCTGCTCCAGGAATCTCTGTTCTGCTTGGTGGCCTTTCCTTCTAAACCGCTTCAGCTGAGATCGATGCCTCTCTTTTGCGACCTCTCCCATAATATTGAGACTGAAATCATATGCTCTTTTCTTTATGCAATATGCTACTTGCATTTCTTCTTTCCCTAAGGATTTGCTAAGGATTTTTATTTTTATTTTGTTGGTTTTTTTTCAGGACAGTGTTTATCTGTGTAACTCTGGCTGTCCTGGGACTCATTCTATAGATCAGACTGGCCTTGAACTCATAGACATCCACCTGCCTTTGCCTCCAGGGTGCTGGGATTAAAGTTGTGCGCCACTACTGCCCAGCACCGCTGGATTTGGTAAGGATTTTGAGGAAGCTGAAAGTTAAGTACTTGGTTTAGTAGAGGTCAAAGGACGGGCAGTAACTTGCGCTTTGAATCTGTGAAGGCAGAGGCAGCAGATCTCTGAGTTCAAGGCCAGCCCAGGCTACAGAATGAGTGCCAGGACAGCCAGAGCCACACAGAGAAACCCTGTCTTGAAAAAATGAAAACAAACAAACAAACAAATGAGTCCAGGGTCAGGCTAGAGAGATGACTCGGATATTAAGAGTATTTGTTGCTTCACGGAGAAACTGAATTTGATTCTCAGCACCTATGTCTAGTGGCTCACATGCCTTTTAGCTCCAGTCTCAAGGGGAATCTTATGTCTCTGGCCACCGAGAGTACCCGCACACACGTGCACATATCCACATATATAAGCACATAGCTGAAATAAAAATAAGTCTTTAAAAAATGAGCTGGAACTTTTGGAGGACAGAGAGATGGCTCAGAGGTTAAAAGGTCATACTGCTCTTCCAGCAGGCAGGATATTGGTACCTAGAATGCCTATCAGGTGGCTAACAGCCTCCTGTAACTCTGGCTACAGGACGTTTGTCTTAGTTAGGGTTTCTACTTCTGGGAAGAAACACCACGACCACTGCAACTCTTATAAAGAAAAAACACTTAATTGGGGTGGCTTACATTTTTCAGAGGTTTAGTCCATTACCATCATGGTGGGGCACGGTAGAGTGCAGGCAGACATGGTGCTGGAGACGTAGCCGAGTGGCCTACATCTTGACTTGCAGGCAAAAGGAAGTAATCTGTCTCACTGTGTGTGACTTGAGCAAATATGATACCTCAAAGCCAAACTCACAGTGATGCACTTCTTTCAACAAGACCACACTTACTCCGACAAGGCCACACCTCCTAATAGTGTCACTCCCTTTGGGGGCCATTTTTTTTTTTAAATCACCACAGCACCCAACACCTTTGTCTAGATTCTGTAGGTACCCACATTCACACATACCATTCCTACACTTATACCTATAATTTAAAAACAGTAAAAATAAACCTTAAAGACTACAGGGTCAGACACAAGAGTTGGT